AAAGTATCCTAGAATTAAAAATGAAAATCATAGGAATACCTCAAATAAAAGGCTTTTCATGGGCTCAATATGTCATCTTGATGAAATGGAGGTGACAGAGGATGGAATCCATGACCTCGAGGATAGATTAGTGGAATTTATTCCATCTGAAAAACAGAGAAAACAGTTACAGGGCAGCAGAGACTCATGGGTCAATAACAAAAGAGCTCACATTTGTATACTTGGAGTACAAGATAAAACAGAAAAACGTTTAAAGCAGCCAAGGAGAAATGAAACGTTGCTTATAGGAGCACACCAATTCAAATGGTAGCGGATTTCTCATCTCAAACCACGGAGACCAGAAATGAATGAAGTGCTTTTTCAAGTGCTGAAAGAAAAGAATACTCACCTGCAAATTCTATACCCACAGAAATTATCCTTCAAGAATGAAAGGGAAATAAAGATGTTTGCTAGACAAAAGAAAACAAGAGAAATTTGTTGTGTAACAAACCTACCCTTACAGAATGACTGATGGAAGAATTTTATTCTATTTATTATTATTATTATTATTATTATTGAGATGGAATCTCATTCTGTTGCTCAGGCAGGAGTGCAGTGGCACTATCTTGGCTCACTGCAACCTCTGCCTCCTGGGTTCAAGCGATTCTCCTGTCTCAGCCTCCCGAGTAGCTGGGATTACAGGCGCCTGACACCATGCCTGGCTAATTCTCTGTGTTTTTAGTACAGACGCGATTTCACCATGTTGGCCAGGCTCGTCTCGAACTCCTGACCTCAGGTGATCCACCCGCCTCGGCCTCCCATAGTGCTGGGATTACAGGTGTGAGCCACTGCACCCAGACGCACCTCATGAGTTTTTAAAAGCGATATTTGACGTTTGAAGCAAAAGTTCCAATGGCATCTGATGGGATGCTCAATGCATGTAGAAGAAGTACCTGAGACAAGGATATTTAAAAGATGGGAAGTGTAAAGACACCTAGAGGAAGGGTGATCCTCCACTTTACTCCACGTGGTCAGGCCTCACTTCCGGGGACTGTGATGGGTTAGGGGTACATGGTGGATCCATTGGCACCGCAGTCGCAGTGCACTGCATGCCGCGTGTACAATGGGGCCAGGGAGCTGCAGGGCTGCCCTGGAACGGATGAGGAGTGGCAGGAGCCTCGCAGAGGAAACGGGGTAGATTATGTCGGGCTGTTGGTGACATTGAGGCCATTGTAAAGTAATTGGATGTTTTTCTAAATGTAGATATTTAGTTATTAAAATGAATGAACAAGAAGTGACACCATCTGAATTGAATTTTTAAAATATCACCTTAGCTACTGTGCTGAGATTTCAGTGTAAGGGTTAAGGGCAGGTGCATTACGACGAATTAGGAGGTTCTTTCAGGAATCCAGGCAAGGCCATTGCCAGTGGAGGGGAGAAACCAGTGGGTTCTGGGGGATGGCATTTTCAATACAGAGCCAAAGGAAATCTTGGTGGGGGCAGAGAGGGGCCTTGAGGATGGCTCCCGGGAGTTTGACTTCAGTGACCACTAAGTGAGGTGAAGAAGACTGCGGGAGAACAGGTGGGGTGGAGGATCAGAAGTCTGGCTAGGGTTGAGATGCCGATTAAGCATCCAAGCAGCTGGATATGTAAATCTAGATTTCAAGGGAGAGCTACAGACTTGGGGATAAAAAATTGGACGTAGTTACTATGTGGAGAGTGCTTAAAAGGATGAGATTGGATGCGGTCACCCAGGAAGCAGGTGTCAACTTTACTCATGGAACCATAAAAATGTAAATCTGGACGGAATATCTATAACATCAGCAAACAAGAGTGAGGGGCCTCTCTATTCTTTGCTGGTGTACCTCAATTCTCCCTATAGCACCTGGCATATAGTAGGCACTTGATAATATTTACTGAATGAACAGTAATATGTGTGACCTACCATGACCAGATCAGCATCAGATCCAGGGCAACAGTGGAAATCTTCTCATTTCTAATTCAACGGTCGTTTATTGTCCCTAACTCTCCTGCCAAATTTAATTCTCATTATCTTACTTGTGATCAACATTAAAGCAGTTTCGATTTCATTTCTGATTCCTTTATTGGTTGTTATTCTTCATAAGTTATTCTTAAACTTATGATGCCTTTAAAACTAAAATTAACTGCGTTTTTCTCCTATTTTAGGAAAAAATGAAGACGGGCTAATTTTGTGATAAATCAAATTTCAAAGAGAATAAGTTTTTTTAATTTAATAAAAATGCTTTTTACCCATTTTATAGAATTATAACAATATTCAACCCTTTTAAAACCTGGTTGCTATAGATTTTCTCTACATCACAAGGAATTCAATACTATATTAGATATTAAAAGCCTAAAAACATAAAGATTGATGATAGTTTGTGTTATACAAGTTTTATAATAATAAGGAAAATAGGTATAGGGAATGTATTGATAATAGAATGTACATTTTCTTAAATATAGGCTAAATTAGATTTAGGATTGTATTAATTCCAAATGAATCATTTTATTAGCACTAGCTTAGAGGAAAAATTTCTTCCATACACAGATAATTACTGTGTATACTCAATATTTCTAAGATATAAGGGCCATTAGGTTTTTGTTTATTATCCTTTTTCTGACTTTTCTCCATATAAGTGAGAAACAATTATCACTTGAATCAACAATATATATTAATTTTTCAAAACAGAAATAAATATAAAACAAGGTTATAATTTTCATTACCATAGGCTCTAAGAAACCTAACCCTGTGTTTTCCATAGAAACCACGGTGCAGTGTTTGCTCTGTTCCCAGCAACTTCATAAAACACAGCTACCACGAATAATGAGAATCGATACCACCTCTTTTTAAGCACTTTAACTTCGACATTTCAATTTGGCTTAAAATTTTAATCCTTCCGTGTGTGTTTGTATATGTGTCTCTGTGTGTGTGTGTGTGTGTGTGTGTGTGTGTGCGTGCGCGTGTGTGTGTTTGCAATGAAAGAAAACACATGCACTAATTCTCCAAAATTCCTGTGGATGATTTAATCAACATATATTTCTGAAGTTCTTACTTTCATCAGCATTTTCTTAACCTCTTTGGAGAACAAAGACATATAAAGTATTCATTACCCTGGCTCCAAAATGTGCAATTTAATGCAGCATACATTATAAACAAAATTATAAGGAATATCATATTGTACCTAATAAGGGCTGCAGGAGCTTACTGACCTGTCGCTGCTCTAAAGACTAAAGTGGTCAAATGAAGGGGTCACTTGGAGGATGCAGTGGCTGAAAATGGTAAGCATTAGGGCAGGTCAGAGAAAGGGCCGTTTATTTCGGGAAGAATACATGATACTAGGCATACCATATACATTACGGAAAGTAAATAAAGAGTAGATTTATACTACATGAAATACTTTAGAGTAATATGATGCAATTTACAGCTAATGGGAAAAGACTGCTAAGTTATTGCTGTTTCATAACTATTTTATTGTGATTTAAAAGCTTTGCATAAAGCAATATCCAGTATCTTCAGAACTAATATTTGTGTTTTTTTGTAATTTATGAGGAAGAGATTTATTACAACGATGAGGAGCACAAGTTCTAATTCCAGAACAATTATATAGCCCTCAAAGTCAATATATGATGCATGAAATGGGGTATGTCCCTAGTTTTGGACTAGGAAAAAGTTTGCAAGCTTTAAAGTAACCACTTCAAGTGGAATGACAAAGTTCCTGGCAAGGTTTAGGATATCGTTTTTGATGGCGGCCAGTGTTCTTTTTTTTTAATACTTTAAGTTCTAGGGTAATGTGCACAATGTGCAGGTTTGTTACATGTGTATACATGTGTCATGTTGGTGTGCTGCACCCATCAACTCGTCATTTACATTAGGTATGTCTCCTAATGCTGTCCCTTCCCCCTCCCCCCACTCCACGACAGGCCCCAGTGTGTGATGTTCCCCACCCTGTGTCCAAGTGTTCTCATTGTTCAGTTCCCACCTATGAGTGAGAACACGCAGTGTCTGGTTTTCTGTCTTTGCAATAGATTGCTCAGAATGATGGTTTCCAGCTGCATCCATGTCCCTACAAAGGACATGAACTGATCCTTTTTTTATGTCTGCATAGTATTCCATGGTGTATATGTGCCACATTTTCTTAATCCAGTCTATCATTGATGGACATTTGGGTTGGTTCCAAGCTATTGTGAATAGTGCCACAATAAACATATGCATGCATGTGTCTTTATAGCAGCATGATTTATAATCCTTTGGGTGTATACTCAGTAATGGGATGGCTGGGTCAAATGGTATTTCTAGTTCTAGATCCTTTGAGGAATCGCCACACTGTCTTCCACAATGGCTGAACTAGTTTACAGTCCCACGAACAGTGTAAAAGTGTTCCTATTTCTCCACATCCTCTCCAGCACCTGTTGTTTCCTGACTTTTTAATGATCACCATTCTAACTGGTGTGAGATGGTATCTCATTGTGGTTTTGATTTGCATTTCTCTGATGGCTAGTGATGATGAGCATTTTTTCATGTGTCTGTTGGCTGCATAAATGTCTTCTTTTGAGAAGAGTCTGTTCGTATCCTTCGCCCACTTTTTGATGGGGTTGTTTGATTTTTTTCTTGTAAATTTGTTTAAGTTCTTTGTAGATTCTGGATATTAGCCCTTTGTCAGATGAGTAGATTGCAAACATTTTCTCCCATTCTGTAGGTTACCTGCAGAACTAATATTTGATTTGAAGTACCTTTCTATTAAAACTTCTCTGACCATCTAACTGTATTAACAACAACATACTGGGAATAAGATGTGTCCTCGAATTAAATTGCTTTTCAATGGCGTTAAGGTAAAACAATGCCTGTGTGTTTATTGTTTTTATTAATATGACATATTGTGTGATATCTGGGCCCAGCAGCTGTCTCAACTATGGTTGATGTTTATATAAGAGCAAATTTTAAAAAGATGGAAACTCTGCAGATTCTGCAGCAGTGAGCCCTTCTTGACTCTTTTCTGCAGGTTGTGGATGAGAGAGCTGTCCCATGGCTGGGCTGTTTTTACGTATACTGGCTGCTTACAGGATATCACACTGCTGAATCACATGTACTTGAAGACCAGCAGAGGATGGTGGGTGTGCCGCTGCCCATGCTGTGTAAAGACGGTGACAGAGTGGGCCCAACAGCACCCTTGGAGTCTATACAGGAAGATAAAGTCATGAATGGGTAATGTCCTCTGACTGGTTCTGAAACATAGGGGCTGCCATTTTGCAGGGACAGAGCAAATTATGATACACCTCTTTACCCTCTAAAATTTAATTTCAAGTTGCCTAAGTCTGCATAACTTTCCAGTCTTAAGTGCAAATGGCCGTCAAGTCTCCTGATGTCCACTGAAGCCATTTGGGGTTTTTGTTTTTACTCAATTTTAATATTTTTCTGATCCCTGCAGAGCTCTAGCATCGTGACTTCTTTAACTAAATTAATACTTTTAATCTGGTTGTAGTAAAGTCTTGTTATAACCTGAGATCCCTTTTCTGTCCCTGGTGATGTTGCATCACGCATCCTTGGTTTTTTTGTGGATTGATTTTATCCTTTAGCTCTCAGAGGATGTTCTTATTTCCAAGTAGCTGGAAATTACCAAATACCGATCATAATATCCAGAAGTACAAATTAATAACTTGGGATAGTAATAAATAGCACAATTTGTACTTATAGTTTATGCTATTTTTCTAAATTACATGTTGATCCTCTTTAGTGGCAAGCTGCCCATCGGTATTGGCTATTAATAATAATTGAAACAATATGCCATGCAATCCCCTCTAACTCTGCAGATGTAATGAAGCATACATCTGCCAGATGGAAGTTACAGTATAATGTACCCTGACTTGCTGTTGCAGGGTTGCTAAGTACAGTTTTTCTTTCCTAGCATTTTCACTAGTATCTTTGTTTATAGACTCAGTCAGTAGGGTACCTAGCAGTCTGAGTTTGAAAACTTAAGAATTAATTTCAACACATCTTTGACTATTCCCTAATGTTCTCCTCTCCAATGTGTCACAGCAAAGCCAAGGGTAACTAGTGTTTTGTGATGAAGAGCTGTCCTTTCCTGTGCCCACCAGCAAACTTGAGGATACATGTTGAGTTGTTGAGTGCTAGAGAGAGAGAAAAATGATCTACCCCTCTTTAGAGATACCCCATATTGATGAGAGTGATGTGCTTGGGCATGGCTTGGAGAACCAGTGGGGAGTTTGGAATGATGGCTTTTGTCCATTTCAACATCAGAACCCTGATCCTATGTTATAATAAGAAACATAGACACATGGCAATAAATTTCAGAATCAAGTATAAAGTGCTTATCATGTTTGCAGTTCTTTGAGATATAAAAAAGCCTCCCAATTGTCCCATAGAACTGATGTTTATCGTTTCCTTTAAATAAACATAAAAATGGACCTTTCCAGTCTTAAAACTTAAATATGTTACATTTGTATTATCTGAGTTCCTTTCTCAGAAAATAAAGGATCAGGTCTCCCAGACAGTATCAAAGAGCGAAACTTACCAGATCATGGCATCTGGACAATGAGACACCAGATTCATCACCTGGGGTGGTTGTCTAAACCACTACCTGCTTCCTGTTGACCAGCTCCTCTTCTTCAACCCTCCCTTATTCCTGCTTTCCCACACTTGGTTACATTTCTTCCTTGCTATATACACCCATCATTTCAGTTGCTCAGGCGGGTGGATTTAAGACTGATCTGCCGTCTCCTCACCTACAGCACCCAATTAAAGTTTTCTTCCATGGCAGTACTCGTTATATCAATGACTGGCTTTCTGTGCAGCAAGCAACATGACCTAGACCCAACCCCTGGCATTCGGGCAACAAAACCGATTTCCAGAGGACATAGGCTTACTCTGCTATATTTCCTGTCTTCCTCAAATATGGCATCAAGTTTGAAAGTGGCCCTACAACTTTGATGAGTTGACTTTTATGACATTTAAATAAATATGCATTAAACCAAATTGCCCCCAGGATTCTCTACAAAAATCTCATAATTATAGAGCCTATGGTGTCTGAGTTCACTTCTTGAACTAGAAAAAAGAAATTAAAATGCTCCAAAAGTCATAGCTTAAGAATATGTCCTAATTCTCTGTAGACTGTGTGCTTAATGGAAGAAAATGCTCCTTGTTGGGGTGAAGATGCTTCCAAGGGCAATTGGAAATCTGCCAAAAATTTTGTAGGAGAATTTTTTTTTTTTTTTTTGCTTTTGAGTTTTTCTCTAGTCTTATGAAGCAGGATAAATGGATCAACTTGTTAACAGACTAGGCAGATGCACAGCATATCTGAACTACATCATTTCTTTAGACTTAGCAGGGTTTTGACTTGAATGCTAGTAGGCTCCCATATGTCTTCCTGAAATCTAGACCTTGGGTGCCTTCTGTGGGGACTGCTGTGTATACCTGGACTCGATACACTTACCTAGTCAGCTGAATATAGACTCTCAGTCTTGGGTCACCTACCCACTCCCAGAGTAGAGAGTCGAGATCATTGCAAGGGAGCAGGTTGCCCAGGGAGCCCAGTGCCCCTTGAAAAATGAACAGTGAAGAGATGGCTCTACATATGCAGTTTGGTAACTAGCAAGAGAAACCATTTGCCATGTCATGTCTTTGGAATGATCATTTGCCAACTGTGAGAGAAGGATTTTCACCTTATAGTATAATTTACCCCAAGACACAGCTCCATCCTTTCTTACCAAGGGTGCATATGTGTGCATGAGTGTGTATATCTGCAGTTTACTTGTTGGTTAAGAAATATTGCAGGTTCTCTAAAGCTTGTATATTTTGGGCTATTACAAATTCTATTTGACTGGGAAAAGGATATTTTTAGGAACTCACTCAAAAATGGACACATGCTTTGAAACAGAAATTTAAGTGGTTTCTCCAAGTAACAACCATCGTGTGTTCCTTTTTTTCCACCTCTAGAGAAATGCACAACAGGGAAACAATGTAGAGAAACATGAGAGTCAACTAGTTATGGCTAAGTGGTGTTAAGACCCTACAGAAGCTGCATCCATGTGGCTGCAAAGGACATGATTTCATGTTTTTATGACAGTCTAGTATTCTACGGAGGGTATGTACCACATTTTCTTTATCCAGTACTCCATGGATGGACATCTAGGTTGAGTCCATGTCTTTACTATTGTGAATAGTGCTGCAATGAACACACAGGTACATGTGTCCTCCTGGTAGAACAATTTATATTACTTTAGGTATACACCCAGTAATGGGATTGCTGGGCCGAATGGTAGTTCTGTTTTCAGTTCTTTGAGAAATCTCCAAACTGCTTTCCACAGCAGCTGAACTAACTTGCATTCCCATCAACAGTGTATAAGCATTCCCTTCAACAGTGTATAAGCATTCCCTTTCTCTGCAACCTCGCCAATATCTGTTGTTTTTTGACTTTCTAATAATAGCCATTCTAACTGACGTGAGAACTGATGTGAGATGTGAATACAGGAACAGAAAACCAAATACCGTGTATTGTCACTTATAAGTGGGTGTGAAACACTGAGTACACGTTGACACAAAGATGGGACCAATAGACACAGAAGCCTACTTGGGGGGGGGGTAAGGTGGGAGTAGGGTGAAGGTTCAAAAACTACCTGTTGTCTACTATGCTCACTACCTGCGTGACAAAATCATTTGTACACCAAACCCTAGTGACACCTAATTTACACATGAACAAACCTGTGCATGTACCCTCAAACCTAAAATGAAAGTTGTAAAAAAAAATAAACACATGTGATGTGGGAGCAGAAAGCAAAAACAAAATAAGTTGGCTTCACTGACATGTAGAGAACATTCCACCCCAAAACAGCAGAATACACATGCTTCTCAAGTAAATATGATTGATTTAATAAGAATAATTATATACTAAGGTATTAAAAACCTTAATAAACTGAAATCATACAGGGTATATTCTTGAATTGCAATGAAATTAGCCATAAATAAATAACAAAAATGATATGATTGTCCCTGAATATTTGGAAATTAAAGTAATTCTAAATATGGGGGAAACTGGGAATACTCAGAAAAATTAAAACATATTTTGTACTAAAACAAAATGAAGATGTAACATATCAAAATTATGAGGTAGCTAAAGCAGGACTTTGAGGAAAAATTATAGCATTGAAAAATGACCCTGCAGAAGGATAATGAGAGACTGAGGGCTGTTGAGTCTTTAATGGGTAAGGCTGGAAGCCAGAGGGCCTCTGTACTATTTTGCAAGGAGGCTCATATCTCCTTCAGTGGAAGGGAATGGCATAGCTCAGACAAGTAGAAAGACCTAATTTTTAGAGCTCCAGAGCTCCAGGGACATATGAATCATGGCTGAGGTCACTGCTCAGGTGAGAAAAGGACTGAGACCAGAGATCATAGTACAAGGATGTATGTCTGGACAGACATGTCACCTTTCCTGCCAGGCCAACACCAAGAAGGAAATGCTAATATAATCCAGCTGGGAACATGCTGGCCCTGATCAGGGAGGAAGGACACTATACATCCAAAGAGTGGAATGAATTAGCTGGTATGTATGAGCAGGAACCAGAGGAGCACTCCTAGGATGAGACTCTGAGAGCTTTAGATCAAGGCCAGAATGTAAGACTGGATAAACAACAATATAACGATTTCAGAGCACTTTCTCAGTGCAAAGGGTTAGTACCCTAACGATGACTATAGGAAATGGTGTAAACATGCTCCTGGAGTGGCCCTTAGAAACTTGAAAAAAGCCATGCCTAATACTCAGCAGAGTGGACATGCCCCAATTGCCCTGTCAGAAGTCAGAGGATACGCTGAAGGAAGCAGAGATTGTAGATGTGTATGTTATGTCAGACCAAAAGACCCAAGAGAAGGTCATAGGGCATGAGAAGGAGCAGAAGTCTCACTCTTCCCCAAGACCATAAAGCATGTGCTGGGAGAGGGGCACCATCATCAGTAATAAGTTTGGTGGTGGCTCTCCTGGTGGTTGGAGAGGCAGTCAAAGGAGTCCACTCAACAACGTCATGAGGATGTTGGAGCTCTGTGCTAGGAGAAGCCAGGTTCTGGGGCTTCACCACTAGATGCCAGGAGGCTTCAATGACCAGAAAGGTTAGAGGTTCGACCAAGGGGGCGTGACCCACAGGGACTTGAGGAGATGGTTAATAGAGTGTCTGTAGCGGGTGAATGAATAGGCAGCCAGGAAGAAAGCTGCTTAACATCTATAACTAGGAAAATAAGTTAGAACGGAGTATGAAAAAGTCAAGCACAGTCACTCTGTTAACAAGTCCAAGTTCCTGCTCAGTTCCCAGACCTCAGCCAAATTTTCAAATTCAGAATCCACTGGCATTATTCCTGGGAAGAAAGACCCTACCATAACATGGCATATGCTGTGAAAATCCCCTCAGTCTTCCTCAAAGGGACCTGCAGCCATTTACTTAGGCTTCTTTATACTGAGGAAAAAAGAATAACAAGCCATTTCAAAGACTACTGAATAAAGGGCCTGAACTGACACTGACTGACCCGAATAAAAATCCAAAGGTCCATCACAGCCTAGCTGTGAGGCGCAGAGGCCTATGAGAGTTAGGCCAGATTGGAAATCTTGGCTAAAGTCCACCTTGCAGTGGTCTGCTAGGTCCATGAATCTACTCACAGGTCATTTCTACAATCTCCAAGTACATAATTGGAACTGACATCGTTAGTAATTGTAGTAACCCCTTTGTTGGGTTTCTACAGCGTGAGATAGAAACTGTCATCATGGAGAAAGGCCAGGTGGAAACCTCTGAAATTCCTTCTCACCCCTCTGCCAAAATAGTAAATAGAAAACAATATGGTATCCCGGGAGAGACAGAAAAGCTCGTGCCACCACTGAAGATCCAATAGAATAATACAGGAAGGGTGATCCCCGTTATGTCTCCATTTAACTCATCAGTTTGGCTCCTGCGAAAACTGGACAGATCCTGGAAAAAGACCATTGATGAGCACAGATGAACAAATAATAGCTGTGTTTGCAGACAGATATGGTATAGCTGCTGGAGCAGGTAAATATGGCCTCATGCCTATTGCAAGCAACCATGGATTTGATGAATGTGTTTTCCCATTCTAATTAGCAAAGATGATTAGAAATAATTCATATTCACGTGGAAGGGACAAAAATACTCACTTACATTTTGCCTCAGGGTCATATTAATTCTCTCACCCTCCTGTATTGTGGTCTGTCCAGCCTTCCCCAGATCCTACCTCAAATTTCCCTAATAAGTCCTTTCCTGTCTTCTTTTCAGAATATGTTCACCAACACAATGAAAATCTCAGAAGCGAAAGAAAGAAAGAAAGAAAGAAAGAAAGAAAGAAAGAAAGAAAGAAAGAAAGAAAGAAAGAAAGAAAGA